AAAATAAAATGTAGTTAACAGACGGATACATGTAAATATTACATTATGAATGGGGTGCACAGCTGGTATGACATAAAAATATAAGAGCATCTAAAAACAGGACTATAACTATGCATATGACTATGCTTGCAGCACCATCTAGTGGACAGACTTTTACCTGCAACCTAACCTAACACCTACGTTTAATACATTGAAATAGACTTATTCTTCTTTTCCTTGTTTTTACATCTTTGCTGTTCCTAGGACTACGCTCTTCTGGACAGAGATCTCGGATGTTGTTCCTGGGATCTGCTGAAGCCACCAGCCCAGCTTGGGGGTCACTGCACTGAGCACTCCGATTACCACTGGGACCAGTGTTGCCTTCACCCTCCACATCTTCTCCAGCTCTCTCTCCGCCCTTGGTACTTCTGCTATGGTCGTTTTCCTCTGCTTGTCCACTACTACTATGTCCGGTTGGTTAGCCATCACCAGTTTGTCTGTATCTGTGAGCTAGACCCCAGCCTCTATGGATCTTGTGCTCAGAGCTTGTTCCTGTGCTGCCATGATTAGTGCCTCTGTGCTGTCTTTCAGACCAGCCACTGGTAGGATTGTTTTGATTTTGTTTATAGCCTGGATCTTGTTTGTCCCATTCCGCTGACGTGCCTCATCTCTGCAGGTATTTGGTGGTTTAAGACTGCTTTTTCTACTTTTTGCTCTATATGATGTCACTGAGAGGATACAGAAGCTCCACCCAGCTGCTGTGCAAATCTTCTGTTTACATGGATCAACTGATCATAACAAATTTATCTTAAAGGGGGAGGAGCTAAAGCAGCTTGTTTCAGAAAGAGGAGGAAAAGCTCAGCATAAGATAATATGGATAATTTTTAACACTCAATCATGCAAAACTACACTGTTAGATAAAAATAAGGAGCTGTAAATTAATTAGTTATTCACAGGAACTGTTCACCTTTAAAGCATTAATTGGTAAACTATATATCTTTACATGTGCTAATGTGTCACTAATATTTACAGTTTATTCGAAACCTTGGTAGTCTGAGGCAGCGTGTTGTGGCCAGAGTCAAGGAGGAAGCAGAGGAGGAGGATCTCCTCTTTTCACCCCCTCTGGACTCTGGTCAGGACCTCAGAGTTGAGAGGGCTCCGGCAGGAAAAGGGCGAAAAAGAAAAAGATGAAGAAGCTGGTGGTGTTTTTGCTTTGCGTGGTCCTGCTGACCATTTACACAGGTAGGAAATTCTCAGGGAATTGACGCAAGGAGGACAGTGACCTGTCACATCAGAACACCTTTTCAGGTGCTCTGCGTCTTGTTTTTTGCAATTGTGAGGGAGCTGGTGTAGTTACATTCTTAGACGTTGAAGAGTCATGCATACCATTGTGGTAAGAACAGGTTATTTTAAGGGTAGTTTGCTCCACCTTCCTTTTGTTGTGGTAGAAATATTTAGATAGATGTACAGAAGATCTTTATTTGTATTTTTAGCCCAATCTTTTTGAACCACTGTTGTATTTTATAACAATTGACTTTTGGTCTGATTTAAGACAGAAGACTTACACGTCATCAGGATGGTTTATTTTTGTGGCAATCCACAGTCTGTCTCAATGAGCTAGGTGGACGTACACCGTGAGTATTTTTGCCACGTTGCTCTGAGGCTCCAGGCAGCACCAGCAGCTCAGGCCTTGTGTTGACAGAGTTTCACAGCAGCTCCCTGTGGCAGGAGAGGAACAGAAAGCCTGCTGGGGTCACATGCTGCATGGGCTCGACTCCCTGGGGAGCGAGGGGGCTGAATGGGCACTTTGTTACCTTCCACCAAATACCCTGCTTCCTAATGCAGGCCCGGGCTTAGAGAGAGAGGGAGGACAGAGAGCCCTCACTGGTGTGTGTGTGTGTGTGTGTGCCACTGGGGAATAAACAGCCTCACATAGACACTAGCTAAATAGATCAGGCTGGCCACAGCTCACGAGCAGCAAATAGTGTGAGAGGTTTATTTATGGGCCTGAGTACAGCTTTCAGTGAGAGGAATGCTATTCTTATTAACCAAAACGTAGCTGCCAAGAAAACAGATGTCACAAACAAAATATCTCAGGCAGAGGTTAAATTCAAAGCAGGCAGTTTTAGTTCCTGAGTCTAAGAATAGGCAAAAACAGAGGAAGCTGCCAAAACACAAACACTGACTCACATCTACAAGGCAAGAGCAAAACAGTCTTATCCTAACCTGCTAAACCTTCTTCTACAGCACTGAAATAAGTCAACGTAAGTAAACATTTGCTTCCAAACTCTTATCTTTACATTTTTTTCCCTTCAGATGCAAACCCCATAATCAAGGAGAGCGTAGCTAAGCAGCTGCTCCGTACCAAGAGGCAGGACCGGCCAATGAAGGCTGGCTACCCCGATGAGCCAATGAGGGTAAGGTCCACTCAGAGCAAAGAGCACAATTAGTATATTGGAAAAAGCACAGATTTAACCAAGAGTATTGAACCTATTCAGTTCTGTTGCAACAGTTTGTGCTGTCCTGTTTGTCAGCAGGATAAAAACCGAACATTGCAACACAGTGTAAGCACTGCAAGCAATTTAAATTTAGGTTTTTCTGGTAAATTTGAGACCTGCTCATGTCACTCGTCCATATAATGAATTCCTTCTGTGTGTGTTTGAAAGCTTTTAGTTATAGTGTTTAATCACATTTATGCAGGTTAAACAGTTTTAAGTTGAAAGATATAAAAGCATAAGCAAATCAAAAGCATTGACTCAGGTGAGGAGCTTTGCAAAGGCAGTATTTTTTAAAACTTTCATAGACCTTCAGAGAACATTTAAAGCGTGTTACAATATTTTATAAAACATTTATTATTATTGTTTATAGTCTGCTTAGAGATGGTAAGCGTTAAAGCTTTGTGAGTGTTTTTATGAATGAATTTTTAGAATTTTTGTACATTGCAAATACTTTTGATTTCACCTCATTTTATTAGTCTTTGTTTGTTTAGTGTAATTTAGTGACTCTTCCTGCGTTAAATCAAATGCAAAATTAAAATAAGGTGAAAAAAAGGTCAAGTGGCACGAGAAAAATATATATTAAAAAAAATTAAAATAAGGTAAAAAATAAATAAAAAAACAAAATTAAATAAAATATAACAAATAAATACAATATAATTCCATCTATTGTATAATTAAAGGGAATTTTACCTAGGATAATTTTTCAGAATATATTCTATGTGTATATTTATAATAAACTGTGTCATTACATATTATTTAATACATATGGTACCTGTAAAAGAAAAAGCAACAAAAACCTTTGAACCTTTCTCTGTGCGCACAGACACAAAGGTCCGAGTCACCTAATCTAATTTACAGGTTACAGCTGAGACTCTGAGCTTGTCGGTTCCTGTCAGTACCTGAGCTTCTTAAAGTAATCTCTCTGAAAGCACGTGCACTGCTTTTATTACATCCCCCAGCTCTGCACGGGACACGTGATATCGCCCTCGGTTTACTCATCTCTGTCATTTTATGTTGTGCTGTGTTTCAGTTTGCAAAACGAGCTCCAGCATTTGTCTCTCGTTGTTTCTTTCAGTGTGCACTCATCTGCCCTTTGGGTCGCCTTACTCAATGATGTCAATCTTCTCCCTGCAGGAGCATCTGCTCCACATGCAGGCTCTGGATCTGAGGGCCCGGGAGACCAACTTGGAGCACTGGCTGAACCCTCACTGCTACCCACGCTGCGACAGAAACTATGGACACCCGGTTTAAAAGGTGGCAAAAGTCGCCCAACTTTCACTTCTAACCCCAACTGCAAACTATTCACGAGTGACTACAGCACAGTGCATCTACACAGCAACAGAACCCTCAGTTTTCATCTCAGGCACCTTTTTAGACACCTTTTATTCCCTGATGGCTAAAGCTCTTGTCTCTTTTGAACTGAATGACTTGTTTCTGTATTGGAAGTTTGTCTCTGCTGTTGTGTTAGTGCTCTTCCTGTTTTTTGCGATTTTATCAAGACTGTTTGGCACAACAGGAAACCTCAGAAACCTGTGAGAAAATATCTCACAGCCAGGGCTCTTTTCTTTGAACGCTATTAGTTTTCTTGCTGAACTCATTTCAAAAGTCAAACTGGCTCACTATCAGTGGTTAAGAATTCAGAAAATGAGTTAGTTAAATTGTGATAACCCCAAAGTGTCACTTTGACATGAAAGAGGATCTGAGTTCCCTGTGATAAAGTTTCAGTTAAGGGTGAAGTGATGTCCATGTGGTTTGGTCATAAAGATAGTAAACCAAGTTTGGTGGCCTGCTTGAATCTAAAATATACCTGAATATTAGATGCTAATATGAATATTAAGACTGATTTGTGCCTCACTTCACAGTACATATGGATTTAAGGGAAAAAAAAAAAATTTTTTTAACTACACTGACAAACTTGTTTTCTCTCTCAGCAGTAAAAGGCCTGCTGTGACTGACTGACGTGGACTGAAGCTGGAGTCTCTTTTCTCATTATGTTTCAATCTAATGACCAAAATATGCATGTGTTGTATTATTTCTAGAGTGAATTCTTTGTAATTTGCTCCTTTACGCCTTTATTTCTGTAGCTGCACAGACTGAAATTTGTTAATGAATAGAATAAAATAAAATAAAAAAATCATAAGCTCCAATAAAGTTGTATTTATTTGTTTGAATAAGAGCGAGACTGCAGACCTGCATGCAGATCTTAAGCGTTTCCTTTTTTCTGAAGACAGTCGACTGGATTCTGGTTTCAGTGACATAAAAGTTTTAGCGCCTCAAGTTATTTGCATATTAGATGGCGTTTTTTTTTCTCTGCTTAACACCTTGAAGCGGAGACAGGCCAGAATGTTTTTTCCTTAGCCGTGTTCGTGCGTCTAAACGCCCCCTTCACGCACCTTTCCCCCCGTCCTCACGCTTTGCTTTACAAAAGCTCTAAGAAACATTTTATTTCGTTTTTGGGGAAATGAAACAAACACGAAGGATTTTGCTGCTCTGATAAAGTATATTTGTGTGATAATTACCGGATTTCAAACTTGGATAAACTGGCTGACCGGATGCATGAAAACTAAATGTGGGACAAAACGTGGGCGCGCACAAGCAAACGTTGAAGGTGCACCGTCGTTCACCTGACGCAGGGCGAAGGGAGGCGCGCGCCGTGAACAGGTCACCACTGTGACACCTCAGAATGACCAGTTAACCCAACCCGCGTGTCCTCGGGCTTTGAGAGAACACAAACTCCACAGACAGTCGTTCAGAAAGTTTGAACCCACATCAGCCACTGCACCACCCGCATCATGTGGAGGACAAATACAGGCCTGCTGTACTCGCCCCCCAGTCTGTCTATACAGAAATTACGAATGAAGCTAAAGAGGGTTTGTTTTTGTCATATTTTTTTTTATAGGCGACATATGTATGTTTTATTATTATTATTCTTATTTTATTCTAAAAACCGATAAAATTGATTGTTAATGACCCCACCCGATTTCCTGTCTGACCGCGTCGCTCCTGATTTTACGCCACACACGTGCGGTGATTGAAGCGCTCCAATCTGTACAGCACAAACGCCGTAGAACCCGCGATCGGTCCACATATGAGTAGGCTTGTGTCGCGGATGAATAAAGCAGAGCCGCGCTGCATAGAGCTGTGAAATGTGTGCACCTGCATGCGGAACATTTTACCCGTTTCTCATTTTTCACCGCACTCTGAGGCTGTCGTCTGAGGCCTGTCCTGGCGCAACCGCATACACAGAAAATATCATTAAATCAATCAAAAACATTAAAAAATGTGTTTGCTTTTAAATATACCTTGAATAAAAATGGAATAATTATTGGAATGACTGGCTGCATTTGGTCATTTCAATAGTTTTCTTTTTTTAATAATAAAACTAAGCGGGCATGCAGCCACGTAGAGTCACGACGCATACAAAAATTAAACAATAAAAGCAGATTCACGGACTTTTATTGACCAGAGGGGGGAGAAATTTGTGCTGTTGTAACTCTGGAGGGAGAATCATGTAGGCCTCCCGCAGGACTGTGCGAGCCGGGCTGGGTGATGAGCCCGAGGCCTTTAACTTTTGGCGCAACTTTGCAGAAATTTCAATAAATAAATAAATATTAAACAACGCGTTGAAATTGAGATATATTATTATATATGGGGAATATAAAACTAAGCCCGGCGGTTAAGTCGTTTGTCGGGTCTAATTGATGGATCTAAGCGGAACCCGGAGGGCTGACGATGGTTTAAAAACAACACAAAGAGAAATTCAAATGATTTATTGAAAAGCGTCTAAAAAGCAGTTTGACAACAACCTCTTTTTTTTGTCAGTTACAACAAAGCTGTATGATCGTTTTTCTATGAAAATGTAAAATATAGGAACTATGTTAATGAAAAATGTTATATTAACTTTGGGAAAACTTGAGAGAGTGTGTTGAGTTTGTTAATTTACTTTAGGTTTTAGAAATCTCCGAGGCAAACTCGGTCTTTGAACACAACATAAAGTTTTTTTTCTAATACTTTTAAATTCAAAGTGCTTGAGTTAATTTTTAAATATTATTCCAGGATTTGAAATCAACCAAAACCTTTCAGTCAAATCAGTTCAAATAAAGAGAATTATTCAGACCACAACCTGAATTAAATATCCTGGCTGCACAGCTCAGGTGGGAAGAAACACGTGGAAAAAATACATTCTTGTTAGTTTTAAATGCAAAATAGGAAAAGTCACATGATCTGTACAGGAAGTAGCCACTCGCTGCAAAGGAAACATGCAACTCATGTTAACCATTGCACAATGTGAAAGGGACTTCATTTGATTTGGTCAATACATTAAATAGATGTCCAGCTTTATATTATATACACATATGCACATTATGTTATTTGCCTTTTTACATTACATACAAAATCTGCTTTGCTTGATAATCCCACCATGTCCTATAAACTTCAGATCTGCTCAAAGTCAGAAAACAGAGCATCAGTCAGTCATCTTTTGTCCTTGAAGAAGCCTTTAGAAGTGCTGCTCTCCTTGATGGTGACCGTCAGGAAGTTGGCGGTCACGTCTGTCACCAGGACCTTCTCCACGTTGCCGAGAGACGGCCTCCACGTCACTTCGTCCAAGTCGTCGTCGAGCCGCGTTGGGGACGGCCTGTCCAGAAAATAAGGCTTTTCCATTTGGGGGAGCTCGGCGGGGCGACTCAGACTCATTTTGGAGTGGTGCTTGAAGTGTGCAGGTACCAGGTAGGCGGAGACGTCCTTTATCCTGTGAGTGTCCGTGTCTGTTCTGTGAGGATGCAGGCCGCGCTCTGAGTACAGCTGTTTGTAGGAGCTCTCCCCAGAGCGCTGTGTGTGGTGATGGTGGTGGTGATGGTGGTGGTAATGATGTTTATGGCTGTGGCCGTGGTTCTCTGGATGTCTGTGGGCCAGTTTGACCAGCCTCATGTCTTCGCCCCCCTGGAGCTTAGCCAGTTTGTGAGGGCCGTGGCTCTCCTGCTCCTCTCCTCTCCTTTTATGGTGCTCAGAGAAGACGTCGTTAAACCGCGGCTTAGGCTTCGGACCTCTCTTTTTAGGTATGTGGACGAGGTCTTCTGAACTAGCATGAAGCAAAGACTGCTGGTGCTCACGAGGGCTCAGTTCAGGCGGTCGGACGCGTACGCTTTCTCCACGGTTGACGGTACTCGGTGGGAAGATGGTGGGCACCACAGCTCTCAGGCCCTCTCTGGCCCTGGGGGTGGCAATCGGTTCTGGGGTCGGGTAGGTGACGCGCATTCCTCGGACTGCTTCGCTCCTGAAGTCATAGGACTTGGACTTCACCTTTGCCTGAGCCTATCGGAAAATTTTTGAAATTAGTATTTTAAGAAAATGACACCATTTTTCATAGCGAACATCAAACTGAATCAGTCATTCATTCTTTTATCGTCTGCTTTTTCTATTAATTTGTAAAATGTAATTTAAACAGCCTATTGATTGCTTCTACCTACACCTGTCATATTGGACTGCTATTAAACTAACTATCGAAAGTAGATATTAATCTTACATCAATAACTAGTTTCAGGGCACCATGTTTATTACTCAACTTCTACCAATCCCCTTTAAACGAGCCCTGTCAGTGGAGACTCTGGCATTTTGTTCAAGACAAACTGCCGCTCATTAAGCAATTTTCACGGCTCACCGCTCTGAACAGATGAAGCATCAGGCCGTGATGTTTTCCTCGGCTCGTTGGAAAGTAACATGTAATCATAAAATTTTAATTAAATAATTTATTTCAGACACATATCCATTTCAGTATATAAACTATTTGTTTTATATTTTTTTAAATATATTTATAAATTACACAACAGGGACAAGAAATGCATAAACGGCATGTGTTCAAGAAAAGAAAAACACCTTGTGTCATTTAAAGTAGTTTTATAGTTCTTACAACTAGATTTTAGAGGCAAATAAATTTGTACATTAAAATTCAAGTGAGAATTTTTATTACTGATCTACAAAATTGGAGAACTTAAACATTTCCGAATTCTAATTTATTACATGCCACTTGGAGCTTTTCCATTTTTGCTTTAAAAGTGGCTTTAATAAAGAGACAACAGACCCAGAGCGTGTAAAAAAAGAAAAAGATGGAAAAACAGCCTGGCTGTTTGTTAAACACATTTTATTTAACAGGACACAAACAGTGTAAGCTAGTCCATTAAAACAGCTGCATAATATCTGGTTTTTCTCTTCATTTAGAGAAGCAGAAATAACCAGATACATGCCAAACTCTCTGGGTCAACCCATTTGTCAGGACCTAGAAATAATTTTATCATATATATTCTGGTATCACCACAAAATTAACAGTTCAATTTCCCCAGTTAAAAAAAACAAAACAAAAAAACCCTGATGGATGCCCCGATGGGACACCTTTTGCGATGTGCTTCTGGCCCCAGGGGCCGCTTGTTTGACACCCCTGTCTTTAGGTATTCAAAGCCCGTTTTAGCATGTCAATACATCCCCATTAGGCAATAAACAAACTGAATACACTCCCATTCATGGGCAGGCTGTCCTAATTATGCATAATTAGCATATTTAACCTGCTCATTCACCAATGCATTCAAAGAAAAAAATTAAGAAGTCACAATGGAGTGACTTGGAAGTGGAGAGAGCGCAGGAAGGGTTTGTTGGGGCTTTATTAGAGACACGCAATAAAAAAAATAAACCAAGCTGCCAGCTTTACCTTAAGCAGAAACGTCTTGGGTTTTGGTCCTCTCTTTTTGGGCCCGTAGAGCTCCCTTTCACGCTCCCTGTGAAAAACCAGACACCCATTTTGAGTGTCACGGGAGCAAAGTGCACCGAGGACAGCGTACAGTTACCGAACACTCACTGGCTCTGCCCAGAAAGGCCACACAGACATCTTACCTCTGTTCAAAAGCGGCGAACAGGCGGGAGTCCAGAATATTTTCCTCCGGTTCCCAAGTGCTGTATCTGCGAATTAAAAACGCAGAGTTAGACAGAGGGAGCGGAGACTGACACACGGCGCTAGCCTGCGAGCTAAAAATCTCCACCGTGCTCAGTTTTAATCCCGCTGTCTCGCTAGCTGTGATGTGCTAACGACAGCCACGGCCGAGACAGTGCGGGCAGGGCAGCCGCGGGGTGAAAACATGATGAGGCTCAGTGT